ATTGCAGTGGCCCTCCTAGCTACAGCACCGAGCAGAGAGCTCATGTTCAGTTGGTTTCTACCATGACCACTAAATTCTTTGCGGAGTCATTCCTTTCCACATTACAGTCCCCTGTACTGTACATGTGACCTACATTCTTTGGCCTATATCCCAAAAGGGACTAAGGCAGCCACCTCCCAGTCCAGTCAATGGGACTTAGGCACCTAAATACCCTTGAAGACATGGGCCTTTGTTCCTAGGTGTGTGACCTCACACTTGTCTGTGTTTAAATACATGTTGTTCAAATGAGTCCATCTTATGAAGTGACCCAGTTTGCTGTGTAGAAAGGACCTGGCCTCATCATTATTTACCGCTCCACTAATCTTTGTGTCTCCTGCAGACTTTACCAACAATGAATTGATATTCTTTTCTAGATCACCGATAAAGATATTGAATAGCACTGGATCAAGACCACATCCCTGTGAGACCCCACCAGAAACAGTCCCACTGTGACGATGATTCCCCATTTACAATTATTTTTGAGAGCTGTCCATTAGCCATTTTTTAATCCATTTGATCTGGGCTATGTTGGTTCTGTATAGTGTTAATATTTCTTATCAGAATGTCAAACTCCTTACAGAGTCTAAGTATGTGTAACCTTCTGGCAGGTGGAGCTGGCAGCAAGGGTTAGGGTCCATACAAAACAGAAGAAACATTATACAAAACAAAGCAAAACAGAACCGTCTCGAACCCCCACCCACTGATCTGGGAAAATTAAACATCACCTTGGGCACTTCGCAAAGGCAATACTTGCCAACTTGCAAGCACTGACTCTGCGTATAGCAAAGAAAATATCTAATAAAAAGGCAAAAGGAACCAGCATTAATTTGGGAACACACCACAACCACCATTCAAAAGCATATGACCATGAGCAAATACCCACCCCAGAGTATGTTGGGCAAGTGTCCTTTGCTTCATTCAGATCATGCTCACGTATAGTACATAAATACTGTTATATTTATCAACCGAACCTGTAATCCTGCGTCTTCCCAAAGGCAAAACAGAAATGTTGATCTCCCGTGTCTGCCTTTTCTGCATGCTTATTGACAATTTTACCGTCCCTGCCATGCATAGGATCTAGGCCATTCCTAGGATTTCTGTTTGTTCCTGATACATTACAAATACTACTTTTTACTGTAGTTACTCCTTTTTGATCTGAGCAGTTAGCTAATTTTCAGGATCAAGTGGGTTGTTTCTGATAGAAGGAGAGATTGAAGATTCTGTAGCTAAGTGGGCAAATGTGATCCTGCGATGTATAAGTGGGGGAATATCAAGTAAGAGGAGGGAGACAGTTATTAACATTGCTGGATTTCTGCAACGCAGTCCTGGTTATTTACAAAGCATGTACAAAGTCCCGTCTCGCTGAACACAGCAGAAATCAAACAAAAGGAGAGAGTTTCGTTGCTCACAGTTCAAAGTCTCTGTCAGCTCACGCTGACCCCAAAGCTCTTCGCATGTTTCAGAAGGTCACATGATCATCGATTCTCTGGCTGTGTCCCGGCTTCTTTGCTCCTTCTCTGCATCATTCTCTGTAACTCAAGACTAAGATAAAGATTCAGCATCAGCCCCATCGGTTGCTATTGGTGCTGTCTGCACTGATCACTAGAGCTTTCCCCTCCCCTCTGCCTGTTAAATGAAAATTAAAACAATAACTCCTAGGAACCCAGGTACTCTGCCATCCACACAGGTTTCCTTGTCACTCTGCCTGCTCGAGTCCTATATTCACTCATGGAGACATCAGTCGTAGTTGGATCTAGATTATCAGTGAGTTCAGGGTTCATGCCCTCTCGGTGAGGTCTATCTGTTGTGGACACGCTGTCTGTAGAAGATAGCAGTTGTTGAGGTAAGCTGCATGCTCTTGCTTTTGGTATCAGCAAGGATAAGTTGTTCCCCTTTTAATGACCATGTAAAGTCCCCTCCAAAAAGGAGTAAGTTTGGGATTCTTTTCCAGGATGCTTTTTCCAGTTGTGTAGCTGCTGCTGCACCTTCTGTCCTTCCTGTACTGGCATTCCATTCTCCTCTCTCCTGGCATCTCGTGTCTGGCACGCTCCCGTCCAGCTCATCTTTTCCTCCATCTGCTGGAATGCTGTCCTCAGGCCACTGAGATAAGGCCAGGGTTATGCTACACAATTACTTCAGTATAACTACGTTGCTCAGGGCTGTGAAAAATCCGCACCCCTGAGTGACGTAGTTACACCGACCTCAACTCCCCTTGTAGAAAGTGCTATGTTGGCAGGATAGCATCTCCCGAGGACATAGCTACTGCCACTCATGGAGATGGAGTTAATAAGCCGACCAGAGCGCTCTCCCCTCAGCATACAGGGTCGGTCCTGGGGCCGGTTTTGTTTAATATCTTTATTAATGATCTGGAGGATGGTGTGGACTGCACTCTCAGCAAGTTTGCAGATGACACTAAACTGGGAGGCGTGGTAGATACACTGGAGGGTAGGGATCAGATACAGAGGGACCTATACAAATTAGAGGATTGGGCCAAAAAACACCTGATGAGGTTCAACAAATACTATTTATGAGTCCTACACTTAGAACTGAAGAATCCCAAG